AAAAAAAAAAGTACGCAAAAGTGATAAATGAAAATTGCAAAAAATTATAAAATGAAATTGTCCTCTTTTTCGGTCTTACGAACATGCACTTTCACCGAAAGAATAATAATTTTCGTTGGAACAGGTGAGAAAAAAGATCGACTAGAAATCTTTCAACTAACGATTATCAAATTTATCTAACGATCCACGCGCAATTTGCATCGCGATTTCCATTTTCGATCTAACAGCCATCGAACGATCAACGATTGGTCGAAATCCCTTCCACGAACCGATATATCAAGGTTACCACGCGATATACGCTCATTATACTAACAGTTCCTCCGTCGTAAGTTCTCGTTCAAGGTTCCGTTAGCGACTACGGGATCTCTGTCTCCGTTCGTTTCATCTTTCCGTCTTCTCCTTACATAATTGACGCGAGATTCCACTCGGCCAATTGCCAGATCAATCATGCAAAATTCCCGCGATCGTGGCGTATCGCCACGAAACGAGAAACGTGAGAAATCGTTTTGTATGGTAAAAGAAAAAAAAAAAAAGAAAAAAAAAGAATTGATTCTTCGGACGTTAAGATGGCAAGATAGTAGAATTTTTCTTGTTTAGCATATTTATTCAAATACTTTTCGTGTTCGACGATTCAGCAAAGTTGTCCTTTGTTTTTCTCTCAGACGCAGGTCTGAAATGGAAGGGGAAAGAAGGAATCCCAACGATGGTAACGATCGCGCCTTCCCTTGGCAATGATCCTCCGCGGGATCGGTAAAGCTGCTGAAGCGATCTTAAAGAGATAAATCGAGCGGGGGGAAAAAGACAAAAGAAAAAAAAGAAGAAGAAAACGAAAAAAAAAATCGGGATCATCATGGGCTCGCTGCCAAATCTTCACGAGTTGTCGAAGGACAAACTCGAGAGTCCTGCTTACAGACCGGCACCGATCGGTGGTTTAGGACCCATACGACTGCCAGCTCAGCCTCCGCCTTTAGCACACACACATAGACGCGCTAGAAGCAGTGGTCATCATCATACCTTGTGGGACAACGATGCTATGCTAGAGGTAAATACCTAAATCATGACACAAGTCATATCCATATATATGTGTGTGTACTCAATTTTTTTTTTTTATTTTACGTGGAGGAAATCTTCATAAGGCACCCGAGTCTTTTAAAGAAAGATTTTTACCGACTAAAACCTCCACGATGGCCGCCCTCCGCACGTTGGCAGAGCTCTCCCGTGCCTGTTGTCCTAAAGGACTTTTTTTTTTTCTTTTTGCCTGAACAGGGACTCGAACCCTGGACCCTCAGATTAAGAGCCTGATGCTCTATCGACTGAGCTATACCCCCAACTACAACTATCCCCACCTATATGTGTGTACTTAACCCTGCTGTTCCCCTTGGATGCGCACGATCTTTGATGTTCGATGTTATTCGCACCTGTCTATTCTAACGTGTCTTCTGTGTGTGTTTTGTTAACGGGAAGCATCTCAAAATTTGGAAGGAGGATATCAGAAGAAGAAGCAAGGAGAGCAACAGGGTTAATATAAGTACTACAGTAAAGTTATATACAGTACATTCGTCGTGACATTATAGAATAGAAAAAAAAACCTAGGTCTGTCTAGGCGGTTTAGCTTGTTACACTGTGATTGTTGTTTTCGACAGCACATGGCGACATATTCACCCATCTCCTGCCGGTCGACCAGAACGTCCGCGTTGTCATGGCGTCGACGAGACTCGATGAACTCGTCGGCTGGGGCGTCCTCGGTTCGCCGATTGATCGCGGCGGTAAGGGCGGCTCCTTCCGGCCCGAGGCCGCCGAAGAAAGCGATTCTGAGGCACTGCGCCGCCCTTCTGCTGGGACACGCGAGCTGTTCAGCCGCTACGCTGCCAATGTTCCCGTTGCAAGCTGGCCTCGGCACCTTCAATCCTCATCTGGGGCCGATGTTGCTCGCCCTGCTCTACGCGATCGCCACCATCACCAGCTGCTTCGCGCCGATCCTCGTCCAGAGATTCGGGACGAACCTGGCGATAAGCACTAGCCACATGGCCACCACCGTTTTCGTCGGGTTACATTTATATCCGAAGTGGTTCGTGTCATTAGCATCGAGGATAATTGCAATTGCGTCGGTCGTAGTAGGAGAGAAACATCATTTATGCCAACAGGTACATACTGCTACCCAGTTACGCGATGCTCGGCGCTTGCATGAGCCCAAATTTCATAGCGCGAGTCTCGCACGTGAACGTCTCGGCGACGAGTTTGGCCCTGGTGTGCGTCGACCCGGAGGATCCTGACGAGACGAGACGCGAGTGCCTTCTCAGGAGACTTAATCGAGGAATCAAACTAGCGGAAGACATAGGTCTCGCACTGGGTAAGGAGGGGTGGGGCAACTCCAAAAAAAAAAAAAAAAAAAAAAAAAAAAAAAAAAAAAAAAAAAAAA